CTAAGCATGCACTCTGCCACTAAGCTATACTACCCCCGAACAAATTTTCTTAGTCAAAGTTAGCTTGCCATTTCAAAGGCTCAACCTAGTTTACAAACCCTAGGGCAGCATGAGGAGTAATATACAAAGAAGAAACTAAGAAGGGAAAAATGTGAAGAGATTTTTCTCAAGAACTTTGGCCTTTTCTCTTGACCAGTTATGAAACTATTTAACCACTGTTACGCATGCTTTAGGAAATATTTTTCAAGATAAAAAGTACAAAATCTTTGGGGTGCAAAATGCTTAGAATGGATGAAATGAGTTTCTAGTGTACAGTATTTGAAATAATTGACTTAGCTATCATTCTCTTTCCTTACCCATGTCAGTTAAATCAATGATCCTGCTGATACCAGATCCGACCTCAGAATCTTAACACAATTAATTAAGAAGCCACTACCAACATAAAGAAATTGCTGTAATTACCAGAAGTGAAATGGGAGGGCTGGTGGAGAGTGTGATGAAAAAGAATGAGGTTGTCCTAAAGAATGGCACTGTGAAAAACAGGCCTTAATAGGGGGAGGTAGGCAAGCATGCCTGGTAGTGTGGGGCCCATCTTATCTCCGGTGGCCTAGCTGGGCCTCCCCCTAGTGGCTCAGTCTCAACTGGGTTTGAGGAAAGGTAGTGGATGGGGTTGTAATGAACATAATTCAGGGGAAACATGAGGAAAAGTTGGAAAAGGCTGAAGAAAGGAAGAATCAAATTACCATTTGCTTTTTGCATATTGTCCCTGGTCCACTTCGAAACAGCAGATCCCATACTTTTTTTTCACTTTTCTGCTTTTGGCTGAGACATAAACTGGCTGGGCGGGAGGGCGTGGGGCACTTCTCTTACTCTATTTTGTCTTTTTTTTTTTTAATTGAGTATAGTCGATTTACAATGTTGTGTTAGTTTCTGGTGTACAGCATAGTGATTCAATTATACATGTATATATTCTTTTTCATTATAGGCTATTATAAGATATTGAATACAGTTCTTTGTGCTATACAGTAGGACCTTGTTGTTTATCTGTTTTATATATAGACCTACAAATTCTGAACTCTCAATTTATCCCTTTCCATCCTCTCTCCCCCTTGGTAACCATAAGTTTGTTTTCTATATCTGTGAGTCTGTTTCTGTTTTGTAGATAAGTTCATTTGTGTCATTTTTTTAAGATTCCACATATAAGTGATAGTATATGGTATTTTTCTTCCTCTTTCTTGCTTATTTAGTATAAGAATTTCCATGTTCATCCATGTTGCTGCAGATGGCATTATTTCATTCTTTTTTATGGCTGTGCAGTATTTTACACACACACACACACACACACACACAAATATACACATATACCACAACTTCTTTATCCAGTCATCTGTCAGTGGACATTTTTGTTGTTTCCACGTCTTAGCTATTTTATACAGTGCTACTGTGAACTCTGGGGTGCATGTATTTTTTTGAATTAAGTTTCCTCTGGATATATGCCCAGGAGTAGGATTGCTGGATCATATGTTAAGTCTATTGTTCGTTTTTTAGGGAATCTCCATACTGTTTTCCATAATATTGGCTGCACCAAACTACGTTCCCACCAACAGTGTACAAGGGTTCCCTTTTCTCCACACCCTCTCCAGCATTTATCGTTTGTGGACTTTTTAATGATGGCCATTCTGACTGGTGTGAGGTGATACCTCATTGTAGTTTTGATTTGCAATTCTCTGATAATTAGCAATATTGAGCATTTTTTCATGTGTCTCTTGGCCATTTGTATGTCTTCACTGGAGAAATGTTTGTTTAGATCCTTTGCCCATTTTTGGATTGGATTGTTTGTTTTTCTGTTGTTGAGTTATATGAGCTACTTGTATATTCTGGCTCTTGTCAGTCACATTGTTTGTAAATATTTTCTCCCATTCTGTAGGTTGTCCTTTTGTTTTGTTTATAGTTTCCTTTGCTGTGCAAAAGCTTGTAAGTTTATTTAGGTTCCATTTATTTATTTTTGTTTTTATTTCTATTGCCTTGGTAGACTGACCTAGAACATTGTTATGGTTTATATCAGAGAATGATCTTTCTATAGTATAGGAGGTTTATGGTGTCTTGCCTTATGTTTAAGTCTTTAAGCCACTTTGAGTTTATTTTTGTATATGGTGTGAGGGAGTATTCTAATTTCACTGATTTACATGCAACTGTCCAGCTTTCCCACCACCACTTGCCAAAGAGACTGTCTTCTCTCCTTTGTATAGTCTTGCCTCCTTTGTCAAAAATTAATTGACTATAGGTGTGTGGGTTTATTTTCTGGGCTCTCTAATCTGTTCCATTGATTCATATGGCTGCTATTGTGCCAATATGATGCTGTTTTGATTACTGTAGCTCTGTCGTATTGTCTGAAGTTGGAGAGGGCTATTTCTCCAGCTTCATTTTCTTCAGTATTGCTTTGGCAATTCTGGACCTTTTGTGATTTCATATATATTTTAGGATTATTTGTTCTAGTTCTGTGAAAAATGTCCTGTGTAATTTGATAGGGATTGCCTTAAATCTGTAGATTGCTTTGAGTAGTTCTTCCGATTCAAGAGCAGAGGATTTTTCCATTTCCTTAAATCACCTTTGATTTCCTTAATCAGTGTTTTATAGTTCTCTGTGTATAAGTCTTTCACCTCCTTGGTCAGATTTATTCCTAAGTATTTTATTTTAATCTGATGCAATTTTAAAAGGTTTTTTTTTTGTAACTCTCCTGTTCTGATATTCCATTGTTAGTGTAAAGAAATGCCACAGATTTCTGTATGTTAATCTTGTATCCTGCTACCTTGCTGAATTCGTTTATCAGGTCTAGTAGTTTTTGTGTGGAGTCTTTTGTCTTCTAGTCACTTGTGGGCTTGTTTTATTTTTTTCCTACTAAGTTGTAAACTCCTTAAAGGCAAGTACATCTTACTATTCTTTGTATCCTCTACGATAGTGAGCAGCAGACATATTATTATTGTAAATTTTGAACAATAAATATTTTTGCAGTTGAGCTAGTAATTGACATGCCTCTTTGCATATAGTGATGTCTGATTCAAAGCATATACTGCATCCTTATAAAACAGATTCCCATCCATTCAAGGTGCTGTCTCTCAACTGGCACTATAATTAGGGAGTTCATCTCAGTGGCAGCGTCCCCTTGAACTATACCTGGTCCACAAATGAGAGTAACACTGAGGGGTGCTCCCCTCACTAACATATTTCTCAATGCCTTAGTGAAGTGAGTGTCTTCTGGGCCTTCTCATGGAATGTTGGAGGGGACGGGTGGGCATGAAGGTAACCTATGATACAGTTTAACATACCCACCTCCCTAGGCTCTTGAATTTCTTTATATACATGATGTAGAGAGCTCTGGTATCTCAGCTTTTATTAAATGCAGGCCATGGTTGAGTCCAGGTTTCAGTCAACCAATCAATAAATTTTGAGAGCCTCATGAACTAACATATTAACCTGGAATCTCTAGTAAGTGCACTTGTATCAATCGATTTGGTTCAATCTAGTGTTATATATTTCACTCTCTGCAGTCTAGCGCTCTTGGAATATACTCCCTATTTCTGCTGATATAGATTAGTAAAGTCTTGCAATTATTTTGGTGTGTAAACCGTTTCTTCCTGGGTCATTGTGTTTATCTGTCCCGTTGGAGCATGCTGAGATTTAACCCTAGTTAGAGGCCTAGGGACAATAGGTGTTGGCTATGGTGTGTCTTGAAGAGAATAAACATTTCTTTTTAAGGCATCTATCCCAGATGAGGTTAACAGTTTTTAAGCAAAGGAAGGGTAGTCTCCAGAGGGCAAACTATTTTCTTTAACAGAGGACGCTTAAGAGTGACTTGTAGTTTCAAGATGGTCAGCTCTGTCTGTGTTCAAGCAGATGGCCTCATTCCAATTTTCAGGATCCCATTCTTTCCCATTCAATGCCTTAACTGTCATGTGAAAATTTTAATGGGACTGTGTATACAACTATTGTTATAATTCAGCAATCCTTAAAATAAAATTTTGTGCATGATTTTCGACAATATTACCCTTGTGTCCTTAAGAACTAGAAGATTCTTTTATAGTTATTATGGAAGCTTTCTGGTCTTAGACTGTAACATGAGCTGAGAGTTGAAAGACACGAGCCTGTCATTTTCCTTCTGTAAGTATTAAAGTATACTCAGAAGACTCTGTCGCATTACCATTGTCCTTACAGACATTTTAACTGCCAGTATGGTCAAGTGCAGCAACCAGTTGGGTAATCCCTTGCTTCAGTTGACATGTCATCACAGTCAACCACAGTTTGATTACTTATAATGCCTTCATCTCATTTCTCAATGGGAAGGAGCTCAGCCAAAGGGAGTGACAAAGCAATTTTCAAATTCTTTGTGTGTTTATCTCCTGGAAGCCCTACTGATACCAATTCTGTATCAGTCAAGGTCCAGTGAAGAGATGGAAATCAAGCAATATCTTGAACATGCAAGGTTAAACATACAGAATTACTACTTAACAAGGAATAGGAATGATAAGGAGATAGCTAGTAGGGAAACTAAGAGAATTCTAAGAAATACAGGAAAATTATATACAGGGATCATCTATGCCCTTAGGGCTGAGACATACCCTCCTTGAAGGAAGTCTGGTCACTGTTGCTTATTTGATGTCAGAGAAGTTCCCTGAGGGTGCAAAGCGGCCTAAGGGGTGTGTAGGAAGCTGTTCATGAACAGTGTTGTACTGGTGGTACTCCACGTGAAGCCATATGAGGGGGTTCCAAGGAAAGGTGCTCGTAAGTGTTGCCTGCAAAGTTGCCTGAGAGGGTTCTTGGAGGAGTTTTCATGGGAATTGCTACACACTGCTGGCCACCCAGCACTGATGGAACTGGGAACTACAGAAGCCACATGAGCTGTAAGAGCCTGCCTAAAGAAGCACACTACACTACACAGGAGAGAAGTCTCTTCTTTCTTTGCCTTTTACTTTTACTTTTGTTTAATATCATGACAGCTGGAAAAGGAGAAATATTTACATGATTATTTTTTCTATCATCACAAAGCAGACAATGAACAGTGTTTTTGGACTCTTGAGGCAGTAACTTGATAATTGGTTCAATAACCCATTTCCTCCAACTGGAAAAACCTTATGATGAAGACTGGATTTTATCGAAAGGCATTACAAATGGCCCTTTCAGGAAGCTGATAAAAACCCTGGACTCTCCCTCTAGATAAATGCACATGTGTACGTATGTACACCGTCCTATAGATAATTCAGGGTATATCTGTGGACCCAGATTAAGAACCCCTGGGTTAAGCCAGTGACTAATCTCCATGTTCAATTTAGTGATCATTCTTAACTTTATTTGAATGGAGAGTTAACAAATTTAGTATTCCCAAACTCAGCTAAACTATATTTGCTTTTAGCAAAAAATAAATATTTATTAACATTTGAGAAACATAGCTAATAGAATTAGATAGTTCTAATTTTGGAGGGAGGAAACTGGTGAGAGATCTCAGGGAAGAGAGAGGCTAAATAACAGAGAAGACCAAGCAGCTGTGAAACAACTGTAAGATTATTCCTGGGATCTGGACTCGGAGAGTTGCATATAGAAGGAACGGGGTCTCTACTACGACCTGCTATGCTCTGATAAGGTACATCATCATAACTGGACTCCAATATGACAGGAGGCCCTTACCTCCAGGTATTCACACTTGTACACACTCTCCTCCCACAGTGATTCAGGGCTGGTCTTTGTGATCAGATAGAGCATCGGACATGACAGTGTATGATTTCAGAAACTAGCTCATGAAAGGCATTGCTGTTTCAGCCTTGGTCTCTTGGATCCCTCATTTTGGAGGAATCCAGCTGTCCAGCTTTGAGGACACTCAAAAGCAGTCCTGTGGAGAGACCCACATGAGGAGGAACTGAGACTTCACACCCACAACCAGTCCAAATTGCCAGCCTTATAAGTGAGCTACCCATGGAAACATTTCCTCCAGTCCCCATCAAGCCTTCAGATAACTGAATGTCAGCTGAAATCTTGACTGCAATTTCATGAGAGAACAAAATCAGAACCACCAATGAAGATGCTCCCAAAATTCTGATCCACAGTCTGGGGGGTAATTTGTTTTGCAGCACAAGATAACTTAATACATGCATTTAGGTCAAAATTCTCCAAAGGGTGAAAAATACAGGGGACGTGTCCCTTCCTCCATTCCTCTGATCACCTAAAGGAGGTCAGTGAGATGCTATTTGCTACAATTTTCTCCAAGCATTATCATAAATAAGTCAATGGATAGAATCATCAGAGAAATTACAGACTTCTGTCTTAGCCAAATGGTCACTCTAAGAACTGACTAGACATATAGTTTCTGAAAAGCAGGGAATCCAACTGCTAAACCAGCTTATGAAGCTTATGAAGATTTATATTAATACAGAAATTAACAGAAATACAGATGTGGCCTTAGGAAGACTATTCTAGGGAAATCACGTATCTAAATGCTCAGTATGGTTACCATAATTGATGAGGGATATGTAAACTAGTGTGTCCAAAGGTGAGTCTGTATTTTGAGTGATCTTGAAACTACTTTTAAGGATGGTTGAAGGATCTGGGGCTGTTTAGTCTAGAGAAGTAGAGAGGAATTAATGGTTAACTATTTGAAGGGCTGGCATGTGGAGTAAGAGTAAACATATTTTGGATTAATCAGGATAAAAGTGGCCTAAAGACAAATTATAGCAATGCAGATTTTAATTTACTTGTAATAATAATAGGTCATGCTGTAGTGAGAACTATGGTGCCTCCTCTCTCCCTAGAAGGGTTTAAGCCAAAGTTGGCTGACTGCCCTTCAGAGACAGAATGAATGATTCTGGAAATACTTGGAAAGCTGACCTAGACGACCTCTAAGATGTTCCTGAAAGCCTTTTCATCCTGAATGTGTCTTGTTATGAATGAATATCTTTAAATAAGAAAGTTCAGTGTAGTGGAAAGAATGTGCATTACAGAGAAATCAGAATTTGATTTGGAAGCCACTAGCGGTGTGACTTTGGGCAAGATACTTAGTCTTTCTGAGTTTCATTGTCCTTATTATCTCTCAGGGCTGTTCTAAGAATTCATTAGATGGTACATCACTTAAATCACCCATTTGGCATCTAATGCATGTGTGATTTTCTTCCTTCCATTTTCCACAAAATGGTTTATAATCAAACATCTGGGACCAATTAAGATTTTGAAAGTCCAGTGTTGAAATGAGCTAATTTTCCTAAGCTTCAAGTGCAGGATTTCACTTGTTCTTAAAAAATAATCTTGATTGAGATTTGATTAGATGCCTTGTGACGCAGCATCTTAAAAAAAAGACAAGTTTAATGTAAGCAGAAATAGAAGGAATCAGAAGCCAGATGGCCAATATCATCTCTGAAATTTGCAACTGCAAGATCATCGCTTGACTAAAGTCTTTCCTCCCAAGAGAGTTATCACAAAACAAAAACAAAAAACCAAAACACTGAAAACTATATTATTCAAAACAATAAAGTGTTTTACATTCCTGGAAGGCATCTGAAATTTTAGTAAGGAAAGTTCAGTAATAAGCACTCAAGTATTTTCTTTAGAATTTTAGAAGAAACTGGAATCTTTCAGAATGAGTCAATATAAGCTTTTCTAGCTGTCCTCCTTCCCAAATGAAAGAACAGGAAATGAATAAACATCCCACAACTACTAGAAGTCAATTTTTATTATTTACAAATAATTTCCTCTAAATGTTTTACTTTGTTACCAAAGAAAACTACTCCATGGGCAGAAATCACACTGAATTACTGAACTAGCTACTAAGATTATGTGTACTGAATAGTCAATACTGTTACAGTAGATTTGGTCTTAAGAATCACAAATCCTTCATTATCCATCAGCATCCTACTCTTAAGCATTCTCATGAGGGCTGTCTTTAACTAGCAAATGGTAACAGATATGTAGTTGTTCTCTCAGTTTTCTTATCTGCAACATGTACAAGGATTTAAATAGGCAGCTCAATGCTCATAGCAGCTTCTAAGTAAGTGCTATCTTGCATTCCCTCCATGCTATTTTTCCTACCCCCAATTCCAAGTTAAGCACTACCAATATTTTGGGGAACCACCCTGCCACACATTGCTCTATACACACATACACATAATTTAACAAAAATAGGATCACATTTACATACTGTTTCTATTGTGGCCAAGTTCAACAGCATCAAAATCATTTCTAGGTACTTAATTCAGGTGGCTATAAAGAAAAAAAAAAAAAAAAAGAAAAGAAAAGAAAAATCATGTCAGATGCTATATCATCTTTATACTCATACATTTCAATCTCTTGAATATTTGTTACATTTTAAAATGTTTTTGGCCATGTTAGTGAACCTTTGATGAATTCTAAATAGTACCTATCACAGTGAAATGCATATGTTGTCTTAACAATTGTTAACGTATACCTCATTAATAATGTACATTTCAGAGTGCCAAGTAAGATGACCACATTTCGCTAAAGGATTCCTGGAAGTCTGAGTCACAAGCATAAGTGACAAAAGCTGCAGGGTTGGCTGGTGGTGGTTGCGGTGGCTGGGGAGACTTTCCTGCTTAAACAGGAAGTGGACATTAAAGAATTCTTAGAGCAGACAGCTTAGGTCTTATACGGTGGCATGATTATGCTATAAAGGATCCAGCCCCTTTCAACTGTTCTGCTCTGCCATCCCTGTAACATAGGCCTTTGTTCTCCTGTTTGTTGCTTCAGGACTGAGGTGTGGTTGCTGCACCTCTGGCATCACATTCCTTCAGGAAGAAAGACAGGTGGAGGACAAGGATGAGCTCTGATCTGCAGAGCATGTCCATCTGAAGCTTTCCTAGAAGCACCATAAAAACTTCAACTTTCGTCTTACAGGCTAGAACTGGGTCAAAAGGCTGCCGCTACATGTAAGGGAATCTGATAAAAGTATTTGCGGCTGGAATTACGGTTCCATTAGGATGACTAGACACTAGGTAGAAAATGACCAAGGTCTGCTACAGAAACCTAAGTCATAGCAAGCTGTACTTACTCCATGACAAGAAATAAAGGGACTTTACTCTTATTTCAGAAAAGCACTGAGATGGTATGGCTAAGATATGACAAGTGCCCTACCACAAAGAGATGGAGGAAGGGTGGAAGGGATCTGGCTGCATTAGGTGTTGAGAGGAAGACTTTCCCTTTTGTCACTAACCTTTACTAACCCTTCTGAAGCTGAAAAAGGAAGAGACCACTTGTCAAAAGCCCTCTACATTATCTGCTTCCATTCACCTATAAGTGGAAGCCTGGAACTGCGAAAATGCACATCTAACAGACTCTTCACTTACTGCACTGATTCTAAAACCCGTGCAGAAAATGGACAGTAAGTCAGCTTTGGGCGGTAGACAGAACCTTTGCGTTCCCATATCTAAGACATAAAACAGAAAAATAATACGGCCATCCCTCTTCATCTCCCACTGTACTGAACACTCAGTAGGTGCTTAATAAACACTCGTCAACTTTTGAGAATACGAAGAGGAAAGAGATGGAAATTAACACTTGAGAGACCGCCGTACACCAGAACTGGACCAGATGGCTTACCTACAGAGCTCATTTACTCATCAGCCCGCAGTTAGGTAGGCATTACCGCCCCCATTTAGAGAAGTACACTGAGGCTCAGGAAGGTTAGCCAGGGCCACACGGAAAGCAGAGGTAGACTTCAGGTTTAACCGAAAGCCTTCTCTTTAAGCAGTGTGCCCCACGGTCTTTCCTCCGCCAGAGCTCCTGATACCGTGCTTTGCAGTCGACACAAATTCTGAGCAGAAGTTTGATTCAGCATCAGGAAGAACACTAACTTCAGCAGGCACAACTCTTAGGATGGAGCAACACTTCGCGAGTCTTCAGGGTGTGGTCAAAGCAGGACACGCTAGCGCCAGCTGCGCTAGTGGTGAGGCCTGGGTGCCGCTGGGGAGGCGGGGCCGAGCGAACGGTCAGGCCTGGCGGGCTCGGACGCACCAGTGTGGCTTCGGGGCGACCCGGAACTCGGC